AGAGGAGACATCCCCCACATCTCTTTTCAACATGGAAAAAGCCGTCTTCACACGATGGACGCGATCCGCCCGCTGCAACTCGGTCTGGGTGGCACGATGTCTCTCCAACTCCGCCCTCTTCTTTGCAATGGCACGGTGGATGGCCTCCTGTACACTTCTCAGCTCACTCCCATAAAGACTGTATCCAGCCGTCACTCGATGCAGGCGTTTGAGGTCCCAAAACGCCTTCACATGTGGGTCAACGTACTGCGCTACGGCTTTCCGTATTTCTTGTTGTGCCTCCTCCCGCGTCATGGAAACTAATCGACGCAGCACGACAAAGACAAATCCATCCTCTTGCGGCGACGTGAACCAGTGCTCTGCAGCATGCGCAGCATCCACGCGGTACTCATCCCGCAGGCGTTCTCGTATCATCCGTTCCATCTCCGAGACATTTGCAGTGGGTCCGCCATTAGTTGCGTGAGTCCGCCCTACTGTGTACTTGCGCCCACCCTCGCCGCTTGCACTCCACTCCGAGAATGACGCAGTGAGGGCCCTGTGGAAGGTCCTTTCTCTCTCCTTACGCCGCAACTCTGCAAAGGAGTTTGAAAGGGCATCGCGGACGTAAAGATCAAGAAGCTTCTCCACGAGACGCGTCCTGTGATACGTCAACTGAGCTTGGAGATTCTCCTTTTCCACCGCTCTCCGTTCGGCACTCACTGTTCTGCTGCCTTTCACTCGACGCTTCTCGCTAATATCCCTTCTCTGGCGGTTGGAGGTGCGTAACGCCGCAAATGTCGATGGAGCTGTTGAAGAGCGCGACTTCTCCCGGCCACCCGTAACAGACGCCATGTGCCGTCCCTGCCTTTTTCCTCTTCCCTTAACCTTATGCACCCCTTCTTTGGCTTTGAGAAAAAAGCACCAAACCGCAGCCACCATAAAGCGACAAGCAGGAAGCGATAAGGCATGGCAGAATAGACCGGCAGATAAGAACAAAAATACACGCACGCCCACCCACAAAAACACACACAACTATACTAAAAGAACAACCGAAATGGCTGCTCGCAGACATCAGTGGACTAAAAGAAAGTTTCACCACCCCATGCGCACGTCCTTGCTAACATGTGCACAGTGTGGCAACTGGCTGTAAAGACCCGTAATGAGGCGCCTCCCCTAAACCCGCCTTTAAAAATAACACGCTGTAGTTAAGGACCATTCACCCACCCACCACCCCCCCTCCAGTCAATATTTTTTGGTCACTCTCACCACCAATGATGTTTTTCAGGAAAAATTAAGGAAGCACAAAAGGACGGGCGGATGTTCAATACATGACTCAGAGGAATTGAGCAAGACACCGACATTGCCGCTCCATTCATATAATATTAACATCCCTTTCCCCACTGACTGTCATCACAATGATTCCCACCCCTCCCACGATGCCACACAGAGCAAAAACTCCCTTTCTTTTCACGACCACGCAGCCTCAACACCATAAAAAACTATTCTCCATTCTTTTTTTTTTTTGTATCGCGTCATGTGCAAAAATTTCTTTTTTTCCTTTTTTTTTTTGCCGTTATCCCCTCACCAAGCTGCAGTGGGGCAAAGCAGCACAAGACATTAAAGAATGAATTACAAAAAACAAACTTCTGTCACCACCTCTGCTGCGTGGAGTCCACGAAGAGAAGCAAACAATACAGTAAAAAAAAAAAAAAAAAAAAAAAAAGAACAAATTCAGCAACAACCACACACACACATACAGACAGACAGACAGACAGACAGTCATTACATCATCATCATCATCTCCTTTTTTCTTCTTACCAGCGTATTTCCACCTCAATTTTCTCTCTTCTCTTCTCTCCTCCCAATCAATGTTATCTACATATATTTAAGCATACAAAAGAAACAACATATTACATCAGTAACGAAAGAAAGAAAAAAGGAAAAAAGAAAAGAAAAGAAAAGAAAAAAGAAAACACGTATGAGCAAAGATTGCATACCCCAATCAAACAAATAAACATACAGATAAATACGTGTAAGATGTATATATATATGTGTGTGTGTATATAAACAAATATAAATATAAAAAAGGTTACATGTCTATCTATCTATCTATCTATCCGTATATAAATATATATATATATTTCTCCTTCTCTTTCCCTCTCTCTCTCTCTCTCTTTTTGTATATAATATAATATAATATATATTTGTTTGTTTGTTTGTTTTCTTTTTTCTTCCCCTTTTTTTTGTATTATGCCAAACAGCACTCAATGCTTCCTATCGCTTTCATGATTTAAATGATTTTATTTTTATTTTTCATTTATTTATTTATTTAGTGTTCGCTTTATGCGGTTGCCTTTCGTTCAATATATATATATATATATGTAAAAGTACATGCACACAACTGAGGGAGAAAAAAAAAAAAAAAGGGGATAAATAAATAAATAGTTGGGGGAGGGGAGGGGAGGGGAGGGGAGGATTGGGGGGAGGCATGCATGCATACACAACAACAAAAGAAAAAAACAGAAAAGAAAACAAAAAGAAAACAGAAGAAGAAACAGCAACATCAAAGGAAGAAAGGTGCAGACAACCTCCACAATATGACTGGAAAGAGGTGGCAACAAACAGACAGAAGAAGAAGGGAAAAAAAAAAAAAAAAAAAAAAGAAAGGAGGGGACGCCAAATTCCTTCTTTTTTCCGGAGATTGTTGTGGTCGGTGTCCTTGTTATTGGATATATTGTGCGGCGTGTCCCGCACGACGAGAGAGCCGTTCACATCGTTGCACTTGTTGTTGTTTCACACAAGTTGCTCCTAAAGCAGGCTCATCACGTCCCACCGACTGATATAAGCGTGCATTGGGGTGGGGATTTCGGTGGCCTTGTGAATCCCACGAGCCTCGCACGTTGGTGTTGGGTGTATGTGCAATGCTAGACGTGGGAGTAACTGTCCCAATACTACCGCGGTACGTATTGCGTGTCAGGGACGCATCCGCTGCTGCTGCCGCCGCTGCCTCTGCGTGCTGGGACTCCTTTAGCCGAGCTTGACGTCGCTTTACCGCAGGACAAAAGTCCGTGATGGCGGCACCGACCAAAGAATCCACAAAGGCCGGCAAAGAGGACGAGGATTGACTGTCTCCCTCAAAAGCTGCCACGTGACGTTCCACCATTTCATGAAAGCGAGTGGCCGCGTTTGCATGACGATTTAAAGAATAGTTCTCATTGGTTTTATAATCATGACGGTAGCGATGACGGGACCGTAATTTCTGTTGTTGTTGATGCTCTTTTTGCTGTTGTTGTTTTTGTCCCTGTTTCCTATCCATGCCATTAGTTACCACCACACCTCCCAAAGCTGCCTCCGGAGACAAGTCCGTCGATGCCCTTTTCTCACCGCCACCAGTCCCATATCCATCACCCGTAACCTCCAACTCCCTCCTGTGCTCTACAGGGGTATGCTTCATGTTCACTGAAGCGTGCCAGAAGGTTGCTGATTTTTTTGTCGCTCCCAATTTTTGTGCCCTATTACCACCCGTGGCACCACTGCGCATGGAGGGATCCTCCGTGTGCCGTGCGCTTGTGGCAATTTCTGGTGTTGTGCTATCCACAACCTCCCGACGACGGCGCGACGTAACCCGCCGAGTTTGCATTTTTTTTGTCGATTTGCCTTTTGAATGGACTAGAAGATGATCAAGAGATGTAAATTCGTCTTTTGGATGAAGACCACCACCCGACTCCTCGTTACGTTGATCATATCCCAAAAGACACGATGTGTTCCGTGTATCCCCCAGCCCGACTTCAGTGATTTCTTTGCTTCTGCTGACATCCGCTGTCGACGGCTTGCCATGGGCGCCAAGGCGATCCTGATACCGATAGGCTGCATAGACACGGCTGTCGTACGATCCAAGATATGCCGTCATGACATCTCTGGCGCTATCCAGGTTGACGCAATCTCGGTTCATAAAAGGCGGCACCGGGGAACCAGCTTCACGCCGCATGGCAAGATATCCCGTGTCATCATCAACGGTCGGGGTGGAAAATACACGAATCGCCGTGTTCGGGTTGTTTGGTGTTACTTCACGTGACAAGAGATTCGGTTGGAGGTGCTGACAAAGCAACTGCATCTGTTGCTCTCGCTGCAACTGCATCTCAAGGGATCGACTAAGTTGATCCTCCGTAAGCGCATCCGCAAAAAGATCCACAGGAGATGTCACACGAGCGGAGGGGTTTGTTGCATACGATGCGGCAATGCGCACAGCATTTTCACTTTCTCCAACCGTATTCCTCGTGGAACTAATGTGCTGTGGCAAATGAACACATGGCGTAGGGGTGTTAACATCCGTTGAACGTTCTCCATGCACGCTAGAAACAGGAAGTGAAGAGACAGAATGATGGACTTGGAGGCTATCATGGACATCTCCATCGTTATTATTGTTTCGCGTTGCAATGTTACTCACACCCTTACCCACAACACTACTGCCGCCTGCCTTTTGAGGAGCTTCGTCTAAGGGAGAAGAAGCCTTGATGTTTTCTTCTTTTGAATGACGGTAACCACGCGCGGTGTTGACAAGTCGGTGGTACCCACTCAGAAGTTCCTTCAGTTCCTGCTCAACCAGACGAAAATCACTAGTGGTGCATGACTCCACTGAGGATGGCGTGCTCGATGATGCGCTCCGATTGGCTCCGGAGAGGGCAAATGATTGTGTCACGGGCTCTCGTGCGGAAGGCGCCGGCACACACGTCTCTGCCATTTGTCTCTGCCGTCCTTCCTTTTCTGGGAGTGGGCGGGGCCATCTGTCATTCAACGGAGCCTGAGGCGTCGACGGCCGTCCCGTTGAAGAATTTCTTTCCGTTGTGTCATGACTTGCGTCTCTCATTGTACCGTACCTGTCGACACGGAGCCTCTCTCTCCTCTCCGCCTCCAGCTTCTCCTTTTGGGAACCGTGACGTTGCAACATCGGCTGTCACGCACACTCACACACTATTTCTCTCTTTATGCAAATGCGTGCGGTAATAATGACCGGGCAAACGGCCCCTCGGAATGTACCGTGCGCTAAAGAGACAGAGAGAGAGAAAGAGAGAGGGAGAGGGAGAGAGGGCTGGTGATTTCCCACGCGATGCTCACTCCTCCTCCTCCTCCTTTCTCTCTCTCTCTACGACTCACACCTCTATCCAGGTGTATGAATACGGGCACACGTGCTAACAGGCAAAAAAAAAAAACGCGGTGAAAAATCGCGTGTTTCCCTCAGCAATTTCTTCTTGATTTTATTTATGTGGTTTTAAAGTTTTCTCCTTCCTCCCGCCACCAGACCCCCTCCTCCTTTTTTTTCCCCCTTCAAATCCCTTTCCCCAGCACCCCCGTATTATTATTATTATTATTATTTTTTATTTTATTGTTTATTGCTGATCTCTTCTGTCTCCCTCTCCCTCTCCCTCTTTTTTTTCTTTTTCTTTTTCTTCCCTTTAATAAAACCTCTCTAGTGTATATATTGTGTATGGTGTATCACGGAGACACAATACACAATGAGAAGAAGAAAAGGAAAAGAAAGAAAAAAAAAAAAGGATAGAAACGCACATGTTGAAAATTATCAGCGGATATAAATAAATAAGAAGGGAATCCGTTGTTATTGACGGGACATATTCATATGAAGGGAAAAACGACAATTGTTTGTTGGTGGTTGAGTCTACCGCTAAAATACATGCAAATTGAAGGAGAGGGGAGTAAAAAAAAGAAAAAAGAAAGACGTTCCTCCCTTTTACCTCTTCTCCCTCCATAAATAACAACAACAACAACAACAACAAGCAAGGAATTGTAAATCCCCCTTCAATGCACAAACAAAAATGAAGAACGTGCATCCATCCATTTGCATACATACATATATATATATATATATATATATATTATTATTATTATATTATATTTATGTGTTTGTACATATATGGGGAGATGGATGGGGTGAAGTTGAGAGTGGGGAGGCATTTCAGTATGACCGATGAATAAAGACACGGAGCAGATACAAAACATTGGGTATAACAATTGCGACATACAATAAACATGCATAATAGAAATACACATGGCAGATCCCAGTTGCACATTTCAACAGGCACAGGCACAGAGTGTTAGACCCTCATTCTCTCTCTCTCACACACACACACACACACACACACACGTACTACAGATCATCCCTGTAGGTAGAAAGGCTCCGCTCACTTTTATCGTCGTCTTCCTCTTCCTTTTTTTCTTCGATGCATTTAATTCCCGCAGCGGCTGCTTCGGCCACATTCAACATCCTCACTTTGTGGCGGAACTGTAGGTCCCTACGGTGTTCTGCTTCGCGTGTCTCAATGCGGCGACGGTCGTGCTCTGCCTGCAGGATCGCCGCCCGCCACTCGTCAATCCAGAGCTGCACCATCACCTCCTCCATTTCTTCCCGCTTCCTTGCCTGACGCTGTGACAAGTAGCGAAGAAGGCGGTACTGCTTCTGCGCCAAGAAGCGCCGCATCGCCGACTGAATGCGAACAATATGGGCGATGACATGCGTCCGCAACGCAAGTGCCTCTTCTTCGCGTTGACGACGGCGTGCCAGCCAGTGGCGCACTGCGCGCTGAATGACGGTCGCGGACTTATCGCGCAGAAGTTCGCGACGAACGCAGCGGCGAATGTACAATTTTTCTGCCAACCGGCAACAGCGGCGTCTCTCGGTGAGGAAACAACTCTCGCGGGCGCGTACAAACGCATTTGTAAAGCTCACCATTCGATCCTTCCGCATTTGGATTTGGGCCTCAAGCTGCGCCGCTGCCTCGCGCTGAAGTTGCAGCGCACATCTGAGCTGCGCACGGGTGGTGCCACCGCGACATACATTTTGAATGGTCACGGCCGCAAAGAAGAACCCCCTTCCAATGGCCGCACGTCGATGTCGCGCCTCACGCTTGGCAATCACCATACGCCCAAAGGTCTGAAGCGTCATTGTGGCGCGGAAGACCCGATATTCATTATCAAGACGCTCCTGATTCATGGCCAGTTGAACTCTTCGCATGTAACGAATCTCGCGTCCAGCGCAAAACCGCCGGTACGCACGTTGTATCATCAACACCGCCCTCACAATGCGACGACAGCGGGCCAGGACGTTGTGTAAAATCTGCCGCTTAAGTGCTGCCTTCCAGCCATGCTGTATGACCGCAGCGGCCTCGTTCCGTTGAAGTGCTCGCTGCTCTTCCTCACGTTTAAGCCGATGGCACCGCCGCATATACTCCTGCAGGCATAAACGAACCAAATCTGTGCAATCCTGCAGACGGCGTTGTCGAAGCCGATGATCCTCCACCCGTCGTTGCCGTGTCGCCTGAGCTTCTCGCCTTCCCAGTATTCCCCTAACGATGCGCTGAATTTGTGTCGCTGCATAACTTTGCCGCCGGAAAATTTCTTCTTGACGCCGCTGCTCTTCCACCTCCTGCGTGCGTCGCCGCCAATACGCCTTGCGAGGAACAATAATCCTCCACCAACGCCCCACAATTGCGGCCGCCACCGCACGTAGCTTGAGTTCCTCCACACTACGCAAAGCAAGTATTCTACACAGTTCTTTCTCCCGACGTCTTCGAAGCAAAAAGACCTTTGCATAGCGGGCGATGACAAGAGCTTGCTTAAACAGATTTTCTTCCCATGCAATGCGCTCCTCCACGGCCGCGGCATACCGCAACTGAGTCTGCCGCAGCTGACGTCTTTCCAGCACGGAGCTGAAAATTCCTTCAATGCACATCGCGGCAGACTTTTGCCTGCGGTATACCTCTTGGTAAAGCACTTGCTGGCGCCTCCACAATGCCCTGCGGGCACGACTACAACGCCACGCACATTGAATACAACAGGCCGCCTTCATTCTTCGCACACGCGTGACATTGAAATAGATGATAAGCTCCGTTTCACAGCGTTCTTTTGCCTCTTCCACAGTCTCCCTTTCTTCTTCTTCTTCCTCTTCCTCCTCCTGGTCTTCTTCGGCTTCATCCTCTTCCTCCTCTTCCTCATCCTCTTCCTCTTCCTCTTTTTCTTTCTGCTTACCCGTTTCTTCTTCGCTATGGAGGAAAATGGATTTGCCTCTTTGGAAATTCACGACACCAGTCGGAAAACTGGCAATTGACCCACCCAATTCTTCTCTGCCCGCATCGGATTCTATTTTTTCCCTGCCAAAGGGTTGTTTTGATATGTCTGTGCTTTTCTTTTCTTTTCGAGAATCTTCAGACTCGGGTGATGCATCATCGGCATCGTACTTACTGGATTTCCGACGTCCCTCTAAAGGTGCTGTTTCGTCCATGGGGTAGGAATAGGAGGAGAGAACGGATTGGAGTAGGGGGTCGCCAACGAATGCTCGCTTCTCTCGTGTGTCCTTCTTCCTCTTCATTGCGATCCCCGCATCATCATGTCCTTCTTCATTCTCCTTATGGTCGCCGTACGTATCCACACTAACTTCACCCTCCGCCCCCTCAGACTTCCGCCGACGCTTGTGCTTCCTCCGTCTTTTGGAGAATTTTTCTCCTTCTTCTTTATCCTCTTCTTCATGCAAATTCAGCACATCGTTATCTTCAAAAACGCCGCCGCGACCGCCTCCAAATAAAATTTTCTTCATCTTTTCTTCACGCTGTTTCTTCTCGTCCTGCTGGGTTTTCCCTTCCTGTTCCTTCTTCTTTTTCCGCCGCTTCTTTTCCTTGCTGACGACGGGGGCGTCTTCTTCAGGGTTCCAGTCCTCGGGCAAAAAGGAGCGTTGACGGCGCTTACGCCTCAGGATTTTTTTCTCCTCTTCCTTCCGTTTCTTCTCCTTCTCAGCCTCAGCATGCCTGGTATCAAGAACTGTATCAATAACAGCAACACCACCCAGTCGCAGTGCGTCACTAGGGTGACGGAGTCGGTGGCATTGCAAAAGAGACTGATCCACTTCCCTCAATTTACGCTTCGAATGAAGGAACCCTTGGGTGGATTTTAACTGGAGATTCAATTTTCTGGCACGTACACTGTTCCGTATCATCGTTGAGCGACGCTGGGGATCTGAGACTATGGAAGCCGAATGCAATGAGAGATTTGCAAAATGGTCTATTGGGTGGGTCCTTTCATTATTTTTAATTCCAATCGGAAGCCTCGGCAGGTAATGGAGGGAGTTCTGTATCGCACCTCTAGTGAAATGGGGTTCATTCATCATACCCGGCGTAGATGAATCTGGCGCTGGAACTTGGGAAAAGACATACGCCGCTGTCCCAAGAGCATCGGTGAATGCAGCATCAACACCGCTACCCCTCATGGCCGCCCTCCCGCCTGCTTGAACAAAGGAACGAGAGTCTCCTGCATGTCGTTGCAACTTCCGGAGAAGTGGGTGGCTGGGCTCTAAAATTTTTACTCCAACCTCACGGGCACGTTCTAAAAACACCCTCGCCTCGTTGAACAGATCCTGTCTTCTCTCTGGATCGTTCTCTGTGGAGGCAATTTGCTCGAGTTGACATCCCAAGTTAAACAATGCCACAGGGAGGAGTTGAGTGGCCTCCGTGGCCATTCTTGAGTGATCTTTTCCAGTGTTTGTGCCATGTGCACTAAGAGACGTTAGAATCCGAACCGCCTCACGGTTATGCTTCACAGCCCCTTCGCGCTGTCCCGCACGATCACGTAAAGAGGCAAGCTGCATCTCACTTTTTGCAAACTGCAGAATGTTACACTCTTTTTCCATGGTTTCAAGTTGACGCATGGCCGCCCCGTTTTCCGTCGAAGTGGAAGTAGCGACTGCTTCTCTTTGACGCTGCACAATGACAGCGACCAGCCTTGTGAGCTCGTAGGCATGCTTGGCGTGTTCGACAGCCATACGGTTCGTACGCTGTGATGCGGCTTCGACACCCGCACCGCTGACAAGTAGTTTCTGCATCATTACATGGGTTTCTCGAACCAGCAGCAGCATCTGTGCCGCTATGAGAGGTGGTTGCAGCAGCTGGAGTGCATCGGTTTCTCTCCGCTGGGTCGTGTCCCTGGCGTTTGGCCCTTCTGTGCCGTCATGACTCCTGCGATGATGGGCCTCAACGAGACACGCGGCACGTATCTCACGACCCACCTCTACCGCACGCTGCAGTAATATCATTGCCTGCATACGCAACTCACTCGCCTGCTCCTCTTGTTGTTGCCGTTGTTCCCCCATCTCATGTTCTGCGTTCACCACCACACCTTGAGAATTTCGTTTTGTGATGGCGTAATAAGTTCGTATTTTCTCCTTCGCAGCCCGTTGAATTTCATGCACACTCTGCGAAAACACACGCAATGCATCGGGTGGTCTTTCTTGTGGCGGAATTGCCCGCATGGCGTCACACTTCGCCTGCAAAGGATCACCAGCCACGACCGACATCGCATGCACACACACACGCACACACCGAGGGAGAGACAGACAGAGGGAGTGAGTGAGTGCTTAAGGAAGCGGGCAAAAGTACGCCGATGGCTCACGGAGTGTAACGGATCCGACACGAACGGCCCCCTCCCTAATCCCTCTTCCTACACACCCGTCTCACTGTGCACCCACCACACACAACCTCCCTAGATATATCCTTCAGTATTTAATCCAGCCAACAACAACGACGCAAAGAAAGAGAAGCCAAAAACAAAACAAAACAAAAAAACAAAAAACAAAAAAAAATTAAAGAAAAAGGGGAAAACAGAAGAAAACCGGATTGCGATAAAAGACGGGTACACAACTTCACCACTCATCTTCACATCGTCAAACAAACACATACAGAGAGTACAGGACATCATATTCAAAGCAAATAAATATAAATATTAAATATATATATGCGCGTAGATATAGAAGCCGGGTCTCTCCACCGCTGCACACTGACACCGTTGTTGAGCTGCGTATATGAAACATGCTAAAATTGCCTTCCCCTTTTTTTTTTCCTTTCGTCTTTATGTATATATATATGTGTGTGTGTGTATTTGTGTGCCGTGGGGGTTGTGCGAAGGGAAGACGGTGGGTCTGCCGACCGCGGCCGCACAGACACAAGGAGAGAGGGAAAGAGAGAGAGAAAAAAAAGGCTAAAGGGGGTTAGGGGGGAGAGTCATGCACACACATGTAGAATGCCTAAGAGACAGAAGCAAAGAAAAGGAAAAAAAAAAAAAAGGGAATGAAGCAAAAGCAAAAACTTTAAAGGAGACAAAACCGCACAAAATAATTATACTTTTTTTTTACTTTTATTTTTCTGTTTTGACAAATTCCCGCCCCCCCCCCCCCCCCCTTTTTTTTTTTTTCCTTTCAATTTCCTTTCAACTCGTTGTTTTTCGTTGTTTGTTGTTTTGGTCCCATTTTATATTTTATATTTTATTTGTGTCATTTCTCCGCCGCTTCCCTCATTTTTTTTTTTTTTTTTTTTTGTCTGCCACCGACCCCCTCCTCTCCCTCTCCCTCTCCCTTCACTTCCTCCCCTCCTCTTTTGGACCCTTCATTTTGCCGCCCCACGTTGCAGTGTGCATGTACCCTTATTTGGCCGCCGCCCCGCCCCGCCCTGCCACGGCTGCTGCAAAGCAAATCACACACACACACACACACACACACAGAAAGAAAAACTCGCCGCATGGAAGGCAAAGGGGGAGGGGGACGTCAACAAATAAACAACAACAACAACAAGAGACACACAAACACAACTACACAGAAAAATATACAGAGAGAAAAGAAAGAAGGAAAAACAAAAAGACATCAAACATCACCGTATCCAACAAATTCACCATCATCATCATCATCATCATTCTTACCGTCATCAAATACGCACAGAGTAAAATAAGAGGAGGAGGGGGTGGGAAAAAAAAGGAAAAGAGGAGAAAGAGGGAGAGTGAGAGGGTGCGTGCATGCATATGTGGAGGAAAAACGTGAGGAAGCAGCGGGCAAACAAACATATGAAAACATGGATCCTCCCGCCCTCATTGCCACACCAAAAAAAAGAACAAAAAAAAAAAGAACAAACAAACAAAGAAAGAAACCCAAACCAAACCGAACCAACAACAACAACAACAGTGGTAGAAACAATCGAAGTTTCAGCATCAAAGCCCAGGAGCGAGAACAAGATACACACAAAACAATTGAAATGAGGCCTTCCCCCCCTTTTTTTTTCTTTCTCTTTTCACACCGCCTCTTTGCACGATCCTTTTCCTTCTTTCCTCCTTCAAATTCTCTCTCTCTCTCTCTCTCTCTCTTTTTTTTTTTTTTTCCCCTTCTTTTTTGCCTCCTCCCTTCCTTCTAGCAGCACCTACTAGTATTTTCCTTTTTACCAGCAGCCTGCCCGTCGTTACTTGCACCAAGGTTGACGGGTCGCTTTGCGTTTGCTGCGGCATTCAGCGGCGGTCGCCTGCCACCAGCCGCGTCAACAGGCGCCACCACGAGGTCGTAGACGGACTTCGCCAGCCACTCAAAGGCCTTCTCTACATTTGTCTTCTCGAGGGCGGAGGTCTCAAGAAATGACAGGCCGTTTTCACGGGCAAAACGGTCGGCGACCTCCTTCTTCACCACCCGCAGGTGCTCCAGGTCGCACTTGTTGCCAATGAGGAAGATGGAGCAGGTCGCGGGCACAAACACGCGAAGCTCCTGCAGCCACGTTGGAATGGAGTCAAATGACGTTTGGTTTGTGATGTCATAGACGAGCATGGCGCCCTTTGCGCCGTGGTAGATGGAGCGTGAGATGGCGCGGAATCGCTCCTGCCCTGCCGTATCCCAAATCTGCACCTTCGCATCACGTCCCTCAATTTTAATGCTCTTTGTCATAAACTCCACGCCAATTGTGGCGGGCGTGTCTTGACTGAACTCGTTTGCCGTGTAGCGCGTCATGAGGTTTGACTTGCCGACGCCACTATCGCCGATGATGACAACTTTAAATGTCAAATTTGTGTCTTCCATATCTTTACAAATTTTTTTTTTTCTTTTCCTTTTCGTTTTTCTCTTCTTCTTTAAAAAAAAAAAATGAAACCTATTTTCCCGTGTGTTTGTGACGTGTGTGTGTGTATGTGCGGATGGAACGCTGATGGATCAACCGTATGCCTTCACTTAACTTCTGTGCATAGCGAGAGAGAGAGAGAGAGGAATTCAACCAGAAGGAAGGAATATATAAATAACTATATAACTATATATACTAAACAATGCAATGCAGACACATGCACACAAACATACCGGGGGTGACGCATTAACAAAACATGTCTCCTCTCCTCTCTCTCTTTCTTTTTCTTTTTTTTTTTCGCTTTTGTTTTGTTTGCTCCTACACGTGACTGCTCGGCGTGGCAAATGAAGGGGGATTTGACGGTATATATATATTTATATATTTGTATGGTTATATATTTATGTGAAGCGTGCATGCCGCCTCCCCCGCCCGCATTGCAGGCATTGAGCCTCAAAAAGACATGAATGGGCGGGGTATTCCACAGATGCAATATAAACACCTAAAAAAAAAAAAGGGGGTAAACTGAAAGAAAAAGAGACACAAACACACACACACAGAGAGAGAGAGAGAGAGAGAGAGAGAGAGAGAAATAGAAGTAGAGAAGGAGAGGAGAGAAATTTAATAAAATACGAACGTACAAATTCTAATAAAACAGTACTTTCCGCATTCGTTTTGGCGCTTGCTTCTTATATTTTCCTTCGTTTTTTTTTTTTATTCGGTTGTTTGTTGGCACCCCACCCTTCCTTCTACTGTCCATTAAATTCCCCTTTTTTCGTTTCTTTTGGCTCGCCCTTCTAAATGACGGGTTCCCTCCTCTCCCCTC